ACTCCAAAATCCAAACACCCTGACCCCAAACAGGTCAGGACTCTGAACAAGTTCCAGGGCCTTACCCCAAACACCTGGTAGAAAGCGCCGAAATAGAGGTGTGTGTCATAAGCAACACTGTCGCGATCATGCTCCCGATATCACTGTGCCGCAGCGAAAGCCCCAAAACCTTGCTGCAATCGTGATGGCGCCAGTAAAGCTGTATAGAACCCTTATGAAACTCTATATAACATACCCTTCAATCCGCATTACCACAAGCTCTGTTCTGGCGATTCAGGGCCCCCTTTTGGGAGGAAGAGCCGGGGCTACGACGGCCTCGACTTCCTGGAAGAGGTCCGGCCTTCGATCTCGCGAAAAGGAAACTAAAACAGAGTGCTGCGAGAAATTGTCGGGTAATATGTGGGTGGTTGTCAATACTAGCGTCCCTTTTCGGGTCCTTGTTATAATACGGCACCTCATATTTAGGGCGACAACTACCCATGTGGCTACTTTGCCCATGCAAATCTTGGGGTGTCGGGTGTGGAAAGGCCGGGCCCCAGGCTGAGGAACACCTTGTTTCGCTGTTGAGACTTTGGGAATTCGGGCGGCGTTTAGAGGTCTCAAGGTTTTGGCTTTCGGGCTTCGGAGTGTACTGCGGGTTTTGCGGGCTCTGGTAGGAATAATGGGCTGAAGGCCAGAGACACTATGGCATGAAACTCTACATCCTCAAGCTCCACTTTCGCAACTGCCGCCGAAAAGCTTTTTCAGCGCTATCTCCAGGCGTTTGATCTTTGCCTTGCAACCAATGGGTCTGGGGCAAACATTGCAAGCATGATCAGGACAGCACGAGCATCATATTCCCGAATGAACGCGAGGCAATACGCTTAATCAGCTACAGCAATTCACGGACTACTACCTCGGTGGTAGTGGGGACCATAGCGTCGCTATCACACTGCAGACATTGGCTTGCTAGGAAAAACGTTCGATGAGGATTCTGACAATCACGGCATCAGCTGAAGCAGTATCAAAATCGTCCTTGGATGCAGGGTAGCAGAAGATGGCCAGAGATTACCTTCGGAAACGATCTCAGTCTTCGTCGTGTCAGCAAGCTCAGCACGAACATATGTCTGCGCAAGCTAGCTCTACAAACACTCTGCAGCCCAAAACCTCTAAAACTCTCAAACCCTGGACCCCAAACCCTAGGCCTACCCTCAGCGTAGCTGCATAACAATCCTTACAGGAACACACCACCCCTCCAACCCCAACACCCTATAGTACCCTCCTAAAACCCTTCTAGGAACCCTTAAAGGAGCCCATCAGGGATCCTTTAAAGGATCGCTTCTTAAGGGAGCCCTTATAGGAACCCTTATGCGAGCCCTTCAAGGACCCTTTAATATAAGGATCCCTTAAGGGAGCCCTTATATGATCACTTAACCGAACCCCCCAAGGCCCCAGGATCCTTTAAAGGATCCCTGAAGCGAAACCTTTTTTGAGAGCCCACACAGAGGAAAGCAGCAGCCAACCAAGGCCCGGCCTCGTCGTCGCCGCAGCGCCGCCTGAGGTCCGCCTCTTCGTAGACCTGCCAGGCAAGTCAGCTACCACAGGGGCCCCAATAATTAGAACAGGGTTGTTTGAAGGGGTCTACAAGGGCTACTACAAGGGATATTATAAGGAATTAGTGTAGGGACCTTAATAATTAGAATAGGGTTGTTTGAAAGGGGTCTATAAGGGCTACTACAAGGGATATTGTAAGGATTTAGTGTAGAGGCCTTAATTACTAGAACAGGGTTCTGGTGTAGAATGGAGCCCCGAAAATCGTATTGGTAATCATTTAGGCCCCTTTTGTAGGGCTTCTAGGGAGAGGGGTTTAGGCTAGGGTTTGGGGTGTAGGAAGAGACTACAGGGTTTGAGAAAATACGATCTAGCATCTCATACGGGCTTGAGGCGGGTTGTACCGGGATGTTTGAGGGGTTTGGTGTTGGGGTTTCTCTCGAGTTTTACTAGAGTGCGAGGCTTGTGGGCCAAGTGACTTACTGTAACCAGTATGGGTTTGGTACCTCAAAAATGGCTGGGCGGTTATCAAGACCTTTAAGAACACCTAGCCTAAGACCTGGTAACTGATTTCTTAGGGATTCAAGCTCATTGCCTTGATGTTTCCGGGTTTAGGAACTTGGGTTTAGGGATCGGGGTATATAGGGTAAAGACTCACCAGGAGAGTATGGGCGTATGTACAAACGCCTGAAAAGGGGAAACAGAACAACTGACCCCGTCTGAATCGCAAATTGTCACAGTGTACTGCAGGTGATGAACCACACCGTAACTAGGGAACGCCAGATCCTCCTGGGTGTCTACTCCTGAAGGCTTACACAGAAACACAGGATGTGTATTGCCGACCCAAACAGCCAAGGCTTTGGCTTCCCTAAATAAGATCCGGATCCCTGGCAGAAAATACCCCCAAAGCCTAAACCCTAAACAGCATGAGTATAAATACTAGTCCTGAACCCAAAGAGCTTGTTGGATCTTGCTGCTTCGGACCAGGCCTGATGAATTCTCAAGTTGAGGCCCAGGTGCGGATGGCTGAGGACCTGTGAAAACCACGGCAGGCTTGGAGACGCGATCAACAGATGTTCTAGAGAAACATGTTTTCAGGTGTAAGTTGCCGTACAAGTGAAACCTAGTGAATGAAAAGCCTTGGTTGCTATAGTGAGCAAAAACCGGAAGAGTTCGACGACGATGCTGATGAGGATGGTGCTGATGATGCTGACGCTGCCAGTGCTGACTTGGATCGTTTTTGTCGTAGTTGATTATTCATATATCGCTGTTATGCTCGTGCTTCTACTGGTACTTCTTCATCAGAGTGTGGGGGTTAGCGAGCAGGGGTCAGGCGGCGTGCTCTGAAAGGCAGCGCAAGAGCATGAACCCCTGAGGATGATGCGGCGATATGTAGACCGGATACCAGCCGAATGCAGGTTCATGAAGTTCCTGCACTATGTCTAGCGCTTGAGCCGTGAGCCGAACTCTGAATTTTCGAAAACCAACAATCAGCGCCAGCCTCATAAAACCCTACTCCACGGTTGCTAGGCAATCAACCATAAACTTGGCCCTAAACTTTCTTCTCAACCCTTATGTTGCATGCTCTTTACAAGCATGAACCTGTCTCTGTTGAACTCTTTCGACAGACTACTGTTCCTAGTGGGGCCATCGGAGCCTGAAGCCAGCCCTGAATCCAACACCCTCGCTACATGGCTGCCTGAACGCTAGGCCCTACATCCCAAATGGCAACACCCTTCAGTCCTCAACACCCGAAGCCGATATCAAATACATCAAACTCCTAGAGTCCTAGAGCCCAGGCATCCTAAAGCCCTGATATTAAAGACTCTGAGTGTCATGGAGCCGAAACTCGACCCTAAACCCTGGCCCCCTAAACCCTAAAGCACTAAACCCAGGGGGACCTCGAAACGACGCTGGCGCAACTTCTCGGACGCCGGCGGCTGCTTTTCTCTGATGCGCCGATCGCAGGAAGCCTGGGTATCAGGGCTCAGGGCTTTTTGAGATCTGAGGGCTTACAGTGTTTGTCGGTTAAATCATAGGGTTTAGGGTCGTGAACTGCAGCTGCAGCAGCAGCGACAGAAGCAGGAAGAAGGACAGGCAACTGGCCGTTGACTCTGTGACGGCAGCTGCTGATCGTGGCAACAAGCGCTCAATCTGAAGGACAAGACGCAACTCAAAATCCGGAAGCCCTGAACCCTGAGACTACCCGAAAACCCTTGAGCTCTGAACCCTAAAGCCTCAAAACATGAAACCTCAAGCCCGAGTCGTAGACCGCAGCTCCAGTATAGCAGACCACAAGACGTCTCCAAGAAGCTCTCTTCGGCGACGGCGTCGGAGGCGTTCCAGGGCTGCCAGGCTTGGTTGGGCAGCCTCCTGCCCTCTTCATGGGCTGACAAGGCCTGTCTAAAGTTCTAAAGCTTATACTTGTAGGTGGTAGGGAGTAGGGCTTAGGGTCTTAGATTTGAGGGCTCAGGGTGGGTCTTTTTTTACGATATAGGGCCGTAGCTTCTGGAGTCTAGGCTGCAGGATTTTTCAAGGCGTGCTATGCCCAGCAGAAGGCGCACCCAGAGTTTCCACTGCAGTATGTGGCCTTGATGACTGGAATGTGGTTTTGGGTACACTAGTTTCATTACTTTTTGTTTTTGGGGGTGGGGTATATGGCAGTAGCAGTGGTAAGATCGTAAATACTTTTCGGGCGAGCGTGTGAGGTAGGTGCCTAGTTAGTTGCTGGATGAGAAGTGCTTGAAGCTGGACTTACCTTCTTGCGCGTGAACTTGCAGAAGCCGGTCTCCCTAAACGGGCCGCCCCCCCTTGTAGCCAAGACACGCTTTGAGCCAAAGCTTTGCGAAGTCAAAATACACACATATGTAACAAATATATATATATATATATATATATATACACACTATACATATATATATATATACATACACATATGATCTAAGGTTTCAGGGTTCAGGGGGCCTGGAACACTTCAATAGGGCCGGGGGCCGAGGTTCGAGCATACCTACACTGGGACTATACCGGGCACTGTTGGCAACTCGTTCAGACCAACATATTCTACTTCCGAATAAAGACCCTTGGATATCTGTGGACGATGGAGGCTTGCCGACCCGACGTTTCGAAAGCAGTCACCCGGTAGCCACACACACCCCCAGAGGCCAAGCTTGCTTCGCCAATAACCCGAAGACAAGAGGTTACTGTCAGAAAGAATACCAAAACCCCACGGACAAAAGGGTACTGTCAGAAAGAATACCACGCCAGATAAAGCCAGAAAGGCTTACGGTGGTGTACAGCCCAAACTCAACGGCCCCAGACATCTCACGGGACTCAACAATGAGAACAGGCTTATGGGGTATAGTGTAGTGCACTTACAGTGAGGAACCCTGAAGAACAGCATAGGAAAATATTCAAGGCCCCTACTGTACCCTAAACCCTAAACCGCCCCTACTGTAAGTCAGCTTGAGCGCCTTCTCCTTGGCACCGCTTACCAAATCCGAGCAGACTTTCTCCAGAGCCCGGACCTGTGTTCTCGGAAAGGGTTTAAGGGTGTGGGGTACTCTAGGGAACTGAATAATTAGAATAGGGTTTTGGGGCCCATTATGCTGCAATTATAATATGGAGCCCCCCAAAATGGTATTGGTAATTATTTAGGCCCATAGATTAATCTAGGGTCTCTTTTAATATGTAATGACCTATCTTTCTGCGAAGCAACGCCTGTCATAATGACATACATGAAAGGTGAGACATGTGCTTATTCATGATCGTGTAATCGGGCAGGGCTTCACGTAACGGCTTTATGAGTCTTCGTTTCGCTTGATTGGAGGATGTACCCGGGTTAGGGTTTCAAGGTTTCGGGTGTGGGATATGGGATTTCATAGCGTAGGGCTCCTGGAGATTAAAATGCTGTGGCATCCTGCGTGGGCTAGGTGCACTTAAAGGCTGTAATGCATGTCCTTCTTTAGGGTACCTTTCCCCAGTCTCGTTCATTCAGGAGCCGCTAGCGTTCTCAGCATGCTTTATTTCTGGGCCGGCGATTTGTTGTACGGCGTTGTCCTGCCTTTTTTTCAGTGTTTACATCAAGGTCCCTCGTTTTCCAGCTCTTGAACCCCAAGACCCACTGTGAGAGGTACGCAGATGGACAGAGATAGCCTGCACTGCCAGGTTTTCCGATATTGCTAGGGTAAACTAGGGTATTAGGCGAAGTGGAACAATTACTTAACAGGCGGAAGCTTTATCACTTGCATCCGCAACAGGATAGCTGAATACATTGACGCATATACGTGCACGTCAACATGCATTATGAGCATGATATACACTCGCAAACGTTCCGGCAAGACCAGAGCCCCAGCTTGTGTTCTGGTTTTAGAAGTTCTTCCTGGAATGCACAAATGAAACACGAAAAGTCGGTTTTCAAACGAATGCTCCTCCAAACACACAATGCTCCACCAGAGAAAACGAGTGCTTCAGCTCGACCTTCGAACCCTAGCCTGTGGCAGCTAGCAGAACCTTCTCAGACAGTTGTCCGGCACCTGCTTACTTAAGAATCCCTGGAGAGCCACTACCCCAAAGCGTAGGCCCCAACTGCAAAACCAATGGTGCTCCCAACCTATACAACAGGCCAAACCTAGGGCTTAGAGGATATCCAATACTGAAGTCTACATCTCAAGGCTCTGTGGTCTAGTCGAGGACCCAGGATCCTTCTCCCAGAGCCAGAAGAAAATTGCTTTCAGCAAAATCCCCAAATCCGGAAGACAAAACCCCAAAGCCCTAAACCCTGGGCCATGCACATCCCGACTGCTCAAGGTGATGCGGATCCGATGGAGACCTGTGACTGTGCCAAAGGGGCCTAACACCGTCCCCCCCACTCCCCGCCCCTGTTCAACAAAACTGTGAGTGCGTGTGTTTATGTAAACAAATACATAAAACAATAACATTTATGCCAGTATAAACATAACGATAACCATAAGCCCAAGGCGCCGCAGCTCTGAGCTGTCAACACATGCTGCAACGGCATCCGTCGAAAAAGATCCCTTCACGGGTTGCTTGAAGGGGTTCTGGACTCTTCTAGCGGCTCTTACCGTTTTCGTGTTTCGAGGCCTTACTAACTAGGACAGGCCTTGGGGCTTGGGGGTATGCGGATTGAACAGCCATGTAGGGACTATAGGAGGCCTGGGATTGCCAGAGCAAACGAACAAAGAGGCTCTGGTAACAAGGTCGTACAGCGTGCCAAGCCGGGATAGGCAGCAGCGGGAAACAAAAAGCAGCGAACCTAAACCTTATATAGTCTCTAAGCTCCTAAGAACTTATATGCCATCAGAACTTCGGTTTCGAAGATCCTCATACACAAACCAACACCAACGAATAAAGCCGGGACCTACAATAGCAACATTACTACAGCTGAAACCCCAAAGCCCTACAAACCCCAAACCCTGAAGGCACAAACCATCAAACCTTAAACCCTTGAGCCCCAAAGCCTAAACCTTCAAACTCTGTTTTGGGAGTTTGGGTTTGGCACAGGGCTCTATAGGCTTCAGGGTTTTCGGGTGTATAGGCTATAGACGTTGCAGGCTTGCTCGTGCTTCCATGGGGCTTAGATTGTCTGAAATTCTATGGAGCCTAAAATTCTTTTGTTGTGATTTTAGAGCGCTAGAGGTTGTTACTCCAATAAACTTACGGTTTGGCGTTGCTTTGGAGGGTTTTTCCAAAGCTTCAAAGCCTGGAATGCCGAGGCAAGGACGCTGCTCCTCGGACTCGAGGGACTTGACTGGTTTGGTCCTCGGCCCAGGCTGGCTAGGGCTTAGGGTTCAGGGTCTAGGGTTTCGGGATTAGGGCTTCGGGATTGGGGTTGACGGAAGATTGAATCGGCTCTCACGGCTTCAGGGATGTTCATAGGTTCTGACAGAGATATGCTCGTGGCCTGAACAATTAGGCTGAGGCCTGGGAGGGGCTTCAGATTGCATGTCATCATGTGTGTATACATATGTAATATATATTTACATACCTAGATTGACATACATGCCGCTTACGACTATTAACAACAATAGCTAATACCACTAACTCAGGCAGTCATATTGCTGGGGTTCGGTTCATCAAACTTGAAATTACTTGCCGCCATAGTTCATGCTTGCATAACCCGACTTACGAAGTTTCCTAACCCCGTAAGTATAGCGGTCTTGTCTGGAGGATGAGTGTAAGTACTATGTAACCCGGGTAAACCTTATTGAGAGCTACCTGCTGCTGCATATCCAGTTTGGCTAAAAAGCTACAGCACACTCCAATAATCAATCATATCCACAAACTTGCGAACGTTGTGCGGGGTGAGCACCATTGGAGGCACTCTGCAGAATTCATCCTCTTTATGAAGCTTCCCTAGGCCTTCAACCTTTCTCCCAGACTGTGACGCACCATGTACGAACTCCGGCATTTATACCGGGGTCATATACGAGCATGCACCCCGAAAATAGAAACCCAAAACCTGAACCCAAACTTGGTGCGCCACCCCGGGACTCCCGAGCGGACCCTGCGAAGCCCTACACATGAGGCCGCTTAGGGTTTAGGGCAGAAGACTTAGAGTGTTGGGTTTATTTGGAGGCACGAAGCCATGAACAGCCCCTCTTAGGAGCCAACGCCATGGCCGCTGTGCGAAAGGAGCCCCGTACTGAGCCAAACAACGGACGAAGCGCCGATCGAAATTGAAAAAGTGTTTACGGTTCAGGGTTTAGTTTTGATTCATCCAGTTTAGGGTTTTGGGTCTTAGGGTTTGGAGTTTAGTTTCTTAGAAGCGCACAGCATATCAGCGATTCTTAACATAGAAACTTTATTGTCTAACATGTAGGTATTTCTCGCATAAAATCTCTTCCAACCCCCGACGTATATTCTGAACCCAAACCCTAGTCCATGCCCTCCAAAGTGATGACGGCAGGATTTCAAGCTGAAGGGGTTCCACCCAAAGCTTTCGATCCGGGGTAGATATCCGGGCTACATTCCCTCCGCCCATGTGGCCTCTGCTGAGTTTAGGTTTAGGGTTTGGGATTTTTGCGATCGGATTAGGAGTGAGGGTCGAAGGCTTATGGCTTTAGGATTTAGGGTTCTGGGGGACTGGCTACCCTTCGGCACAAATCCAGGCTTTTGTTGCCTGCACTTTGGGATCTTCCTAGACAGTCCCAAACCAACCCCTCATGTAGGGGACTTAATTGAGACTACGAAGGGATATTATTACTGTATATTTCTGCTCGCATGCCCCAAGTCCTCGAACCCCTTCAGTGGTCACATAATTCAGTGATGTGCATTGCAGCACAAACACCCAAAGTCCAAACTCAAAACACCTTACCTTAACCTAGCTAGCTATTGGTAGGGCTTCAAAATAAAACGAGTCTGTAAACTATACAAACCCTGAGAACAACCTATACGGTATAGCCTTGAGTGAACCCGAAGTCGGCAGTCACGCTTTGCCAGTCATGCATGCGGAGCATATGTTCCGTACGTCAGCACACCACTTCGAAGCTATCACTGCACGCCCTACCTTAAAAGTGCAGTAAACCTAGGTCCAGTATTGAGCCTCTTGCTACCCCTGCTCGGAAAATGTGTCACGGTTCTGCCCATACGTGAAATCGCAAACGTCGAGCCTATACAGACCCAAATCCAGCACTCACATCCAACTCTGCCAACCTAAACCTTGTAAACTCACCTGCGCAACCCCGAAACCTGAAACTCGAAGCCGGAAGGACCGCGGGCGTCGAGAAACGTCGCCCGAATTTATTCCCCCCTAGGTCGCCTTGTGGGTTGAGCCTTGCTGACTGTTCAGGGTTCGGGGCCTCGGGTTTCCGCAACAGCTCAGCTGCTAGCTGTAGCATGGTACAGTCTACGTCTACAGAGTCTTCGGTGCTGTATCAGAAAGTCTGCCAACTGTTCCTTCTTGAAGATAACTTCCTAATGAGTGCGGAATCATGCCGTGGCGTATATGATTATGAAACTCAACAAGCCGACATACGAATCAGACTAAAGACATCTTCAGAAAAAACAGAAGCTAGATCATGTTAGTAGCAACAACGAAGACAGGATTCGGATTCAAAGTTGCTATAACCACATAACATTTCAAACATAACTTGTTATAGCCATATAACATTGAAAGCAATAGTCACAATAGAACTAGAAGTCATAACACCAACGACAGCCATGATGACAATAACTGTAATACCGTTAATTTTAGACCCGACCCAAGGGGGAACAGATGCCAGGATCGAAGCTTTGCCTCCCACGGCATCACGCAAGAAGAAAGATTTCAGCCATGTCAATGCGGAAAACAGTCCGCAACTCAAGAGTCAGAATAGAGCGGAGTCACCAACTAGAACCCGGGGTATTACTATAGTTATCATAAGGAAACCTTGGGAAAAAAAGTAATGGCATACAGGGTTTAGTTTAAGGTCCAGGGTTTAGGCTTCAGGGTCCCAGGGTTTAGTGCAAGGTTTAAGTTTAATGTAGGGTGAAAGGGTGTAGTGCAGGGCGTGTAGGGCTCACGGCTCAAGGCTCGGATTTTGGGCATTAAGTTTCAGGCTTAGGGGTCCTATCCACGAATCGACTCCTGTTGGTAGTCCCTCCTTGTCTTACCCAGGAGAAGCTTCAAATCCGCTGCAGTCATGGGATAGTTCAGGGTGTAGGGTACCTCCAAAACTTCCATCCGCCTTGCTGAGATCAGAAGCCTACGCTAGCAGCTGCTTGACAGCTGTTGGGCATCTTCTGCCACAGTAGGAGCCCACGGGCATCTCACTGAGGGTGCACTCTCGTTCCAAAGTCGTAACTTGGATACCCAGAACGGCGATGAGCCTCATGATGACGACGACTGACGGCGGTAATGGAAGCTCAGGTTGATAATAATTGCAATAATGACGGTGATGGGAATGGTGCTGATTGCGATGGTGATAGCGGCGAGGCTGACGATGCAAAGTGATGGTGCTGATGAAGTAGATGATGACGACGGCGGCCACGATGACGACGACGCTGGTTGGCCATTGGCCTTTTCTAGCTTGTCACAATGTACCATTCAAGTTTGAGCATCCCAATGTTAACAAAGCCGATGTTCACCGTGTCAGCCCTAAACCGAGCATATGGTTTTACCTGAGCCCTACAGCGAACCTATCATTTTGTCGGATGACCGCAACGACGACTGGATGTGGGAAATCTCCATAGTTCACATGGCCCAATCAGCAAGCAGGGAAGCCATAACGGCTAGGGCACACCTCCTCATGAGAAGCCCTTGCATTTAAAACTTAGCAAAAACTTTGAGGGTTTTTGAGGGTTTTGGTTGCAAATGCTAGCGTTGTCACAAGCGTGAGACGGAAAGTCATCTCGTCTGTGGCCGCCACCTGAAAGACAAGGGGCGGATGTGCCAAGGTTTCGGCGCTGGCAGGTGCGGATGTTTGAACATAGCGTTGCCCTAGTTCGTCCATGTACAAAGTGATGAAGCCTGACCATGATGCTGTAAACTGCAATATACCGTCTCTCCTTACAATGACGTCTTATCAGTCTATCTCAACCTTCTCTGTACCTTGACATTCCAATGTTGGCAAGACTTACTGACCTACTATAATCCCGATAGAAGCCATGTCACATTCCGCATTTTGATTCCTGCATGTAAGCGGCTATTCGCTAAATATGTACATAGATTGGCTTGTTCTTATAAACCTGATAAAACGGAACGGACAGACCATTGTGAAAAGTCCGGTATATGGCGTTTCCGCTAAAGTCGCGGGAATATGCATATGGTCCTGGAAATTGTGTTTGTTACAAAGCACAGCATCATCATGCTTCAAAAAGCCGAATACATGCAGAATACCTAGGACCATCTGTTCTTCTAGTCCTTCTTAACTTCATTGCGGTTACATTCCTCCTGAAAACCGAAACTCTCGAACGGTTGGATTTGGGTGTTGATGAAGCAGCGATGAAACAAAATGAAGTAGCGATGAAACAGATTTGCTTCATAAGAACTGTTGTATAATAACGGGACAATGAATTTTAGGCACCCCCAGTAGGCGCTCCCAGGTTTACAAACTAGTAACTACACCTGGTTTGCAAGCCCCCCGACGCTTCAGAGCAGTTTACCAAATTACGCGTAGGGTCCGAAACCAATAAACCAAACATTTCACTGGTACCCAAACCACCCCTCATTTTACCAGTTCATAGTTTCACCATAAAAGTTTTGGGTTTGACGTTTACTTCTGAGGGTTTGGCGCTAGGGCTTGGGGGAGACTTAAAGAATTAAACCTGCCCGCTTTGGCCTATACGGCACAGAAGACGTAAACCATTAAACCAATAAGCCAATCCATTTGGCCCATAGGGCACGGTGGGAGTCTTCAAACTCTGACCGTAATCTGTGCCCTGGCTATAGCAGGTGTCTCTGGCTTTAACAGGACTGCTGCGTAGGATTGCGTAGGGATGGGTCTCCCTAAACAATCCCTACAGAACCCTGGACTTTGCACAACCCTGCCTAAAACGAAAGAAAACTTACAAGGCCCATGTTTAAATTCCAACATAGCCCGAGGAAAGCCACTGCCGCCTTCTCCCCCCGTGGGAGCGTCTACGAGCTGGCTGCGGCGTTCCACCTGTAAGAAACTTGCTCTCTGTTGGCTCGTACCGGTGGGGTTTAAGCTTTGAGGTTGAGGGCTCTTTGGAGTTTCATGGGGTTTTAATGCGGATTTAACGTGGGCTTTGAAGAGGCTTGCCAGTTTGCCTGCGGCTTCAACTAACTGGTGTTTTGAGGGCTATACCCTGTGGATTCGGAACTATATAACGTATGACTTGCGACCTACGGCTACAGATAGAGACTGAGTGGTGTAGTGGCCCGGGGTTTGTCTTCAGGGTTCCGGGTTTGGGGTCCGGGGGTTTAGGGTTTTTGGGGTTGCGTGTCTGAGGGTTTTCGGCGCATGTATGAGGGATGACTGGTGCTCGAGTTCCTTGTAGGCTAACACTTAACGGCCAGGTTAGAGGGCTCTGCTTAAAAGGTTCCGTCAGGGATCTGTAAGGTTTTCAAGCCTTTGGGGCGGGGTTGAGTCAAGTGTAATCAGAGGATATACTATTGCGAACTATGCTGACCTCTATGTGTTAAGTTTCCCAATTCATGAGGCTAAGTATGATTAAGAACGGGAGTCTTTAGGATATCTCGACAAGATTAAACAATCAAGCCAAATACAATCACAGCCGCATGGAATATGATCATGGTACCCAGGCAGCAAGCGAAGACGGCAACAGCAAAACAACAACACAAAAACGAAACACATGCACCCGTGAGGCTTTTTGCCCGGTTGCTTTTGTTTGTTTCTGCAAATTTTTCTAATCTTCTACAGTCGAATATGAACATCCTATGAACAAACTTCTACGACCTGCCCTCAAACATACAATCACACATCAGCGAAAACCCGATCCCTCATGAATGACAAGCCTCGCACATGAACTCCCCTTTCATCACGCAAATTCCAAAACAACCAAACCGTGCCCAGACCAGCAGCCACGGAATCCCACCAGAACCCCAAAAGCTAAACCCGAATTCCAGAACAACAGAGTTGAAACAAACGTCATCGCAACAAAAAGGCAACTCGCCACAGCAGAGGCCTTACACATTCCTCAAAAACCACTCTAA